TCTGCATTGTTTCCATTCAATCAGGTCCCGTTATGTGGTCGCATCTGTGGCATTGTGCTATACTTTCCCTCGGACACGGCCATAACCATCGTAACTTGACGCGTCGCCGCGCTTCCATGCGTGGCAAATTCTCGAAGTGCATCAGCTTGTCGATTGGAGCTCCGAAACTCGTATGAATTTAGGCATAGGCAAGACTCCATGACGGGCGATATCAAATTCTCCCTTCTCTTTCACGCTCATCTTCGAGCTGTCATGCAGGACGACTCGTAAGCATGGCGAGTGCAGCGTCGCTCGTCGCTACACACGATTGTCTTATCTCATAGTCCGAAATAGCTGCGACGGAAGAAACCTAGCTGCGTTTGGAGCATCGTTCGGTAGATTTAGAATTCAAAACCAGCATTAGTATTAGAAGACGCCCATGGTTTTATACATCTCATACTGAACGGCCCTGGCAACGTGAGATCCTATCCAGATTGGTCTGGGACTAATTTGAAGGCGATACAAAGAGTTATAGATAGAATAGTACGTTTCTTTCAGGTAAAGGATTTTGCAGGTGTGAGTTTTCCTTTTCTTTGGGTAAGCAGTATGTACAGTAGGGCTGAGGTCGATCGCTGCAAAAAATCTGAACTGCGTCGCAAAAAGTGCGCGTCAAGTGCAACATTACGCAATTTTCCTGTACTTGAAGTTTTGCTGAGGAAACGTGCACTGGCAGCATTCTCAGTTTGTTTAGTTGAAAACTTCTGTTGAATGGTTTTCAACGAGAGGTTTCTGAATTTTTTGTTTTTTGTCAGATTCCTAGTTGTCTATCATGTGCAAAGGGATCCATATATGAAATGAGCTCTCTTCGGTTCAGGCTGCTATTTGGCTAGGAGGAGCATTTTGCTGGCTCTCATCGGTCACTGCTGATGCCTTCTATAAAACCTATAAGTTGTCGTTAGGCTGTGCAACAGCAGGGGCTTCGTTTACTACAGGTCTTAGTAAGGTGATACGAGTAATTCAACAGAAACCATCGAAAGTGCAGAATGTCCCACCCAAGCCGAGCAGTGCACGGTTTAGCAGTAACAGACATTTCTCAGTGTTTGGGCTGCATCACGGCGATCCCCCGCCGCACTCAATCTTTCCCTCTGAACTTCAAATCCTGATAATCCTTTTACAACCACTGCAACATTGTGAGTCATGCCGTGGCCTTCTTCCTCTTCTCCTAAAGGTTTCCCGAACCATCGGTTGCGCTTATCTGCTCTTAGAATTTTTCTATTTTCCTTTTCTGTACTTCTATTCAAAAGACCTTTTCAGCATATTGCCGAAGATAAGAAACACATTTTCAATTCGTATCTTGGGCAAGTGTTAGCAAAAGCTGCCAAGTTTTCGGCTGAAGTCGACAACGAGTCATTGATTACGCAAGTGGAACAGCTTTGCGCGACTGGAACTTACAACTCGGTAATGGTCCAGCTATATTGACTGTCTCTTAGGCATTTCTCACCAAAATGCTTTTCAGGCAGCTAAGAAAGCGCTTTTTGAGTCGTCAAATATGCTGCTGGTTGGAGTCCTTCAGGGAGCCGGCAGCTGTTGTACAGCTACCGAGGAGACGTTTCGGAATCGATTACACGACATGACGATGACGGAAGGTTAGAGCTTTCTCTGTTGTACTTTAACCTCACTCTTGTTTAGTCATTGTTGTGGTGTTGTTTAGTGTTAGTTCATGCTTTGCATCACCATTTCAAGCATACGCTAGCGTTCGCTGGTCTGTGCCCGAAACGATAGCGATCCATGCGTATACTTCCTAGTCGCTGAAAGCGCTGGCGTACGCGCAAAAAGCTAAAAGCTGGATCGATACCTATAATTTCCTATTTGATCAAAGCGTCTTAAACCCCGGCTTACGCTCAAAACGCTGACGCAAAGTATGAACGCTCTTTCATTCTGGTGTTTTCGAGCAGATTCTATTACAGCGGCCTGCTTCACACCGTCAACTGTCGCCCTTGCGTTGATCTCGTTTTTGGACGGAGGTTCCAACCGGACAGCGCTTCAAGCAAAGCGACATGCAAGCTTTGAGAGGTGAGTCTTTTAGATTTTAAATACACATTACATTACACATACATTAACTGTTCACAGTCCTCTTCGCTGCAGACGCTTCGTCGTTTCAGGAAGGGGGGGGACTGGATTTTGCGCGGCTGCAGCTTGTTGTGCACCCGCTGTGGAAGCTAGCGGGCGACCCCAGTTAGTGTGAATCGGATGGAGCCGTGCCAGACCCAGCCTAAATACCGCAGCGTCCGCAACGATCGAGAT